ACTTTTATTTAGTCCAGTGTCCTTTGCATAATTAAGTACATGAGCTATCATTGCGAGGTGTATCTGCCTATTTTAAGGTATGATGCAACCCCCTGCGCAGATTGACCCCCTTCCTCCATCCCATCCCATTTGCCTTTAGGCCCTAAATGAGGTTTGCCTTTGTCAAACTGTCCTCCTACTTTCCTCTTAGCAACCGCAGTTCTCCAACATTCTGACACTTGGTAATGTTTATGAACATTCTGTGACATCACAGCTAATCAGCCAGTGATTGGAGACAAGTGTCTACTAACAGCTGGTTTTTAGCCTATAAACCCTGTCTGCATCTACACCAGTTTTGGTTTACATCACTCCTGTGTTTCACATTCCCCTGCAATTTTGGAGAAAGCAGGAGGGTGTGAGCTCAGAGTGGGCTCAATTCTGTGCTCAGTTCAGTGTTTGTCACCAAACACAGATTCAGCCATTTGCTTTACAGTGCAATCCTAAGCATGCTTCCTTAGAACGATTCACCACTATTAAGCCAACCTACTATGGGAGCAGAGCTGTGGACATGAGTGTGCTAGCTTGTATCTCTGCTATGAGCCTTCCTCGAGACAGCTGCCTTTGAGCTGGCAAATGGAGGGAGATCTTCTTGTGATATTGCTCCCTGATGAAGGCCTGCCATTCCTGGAATCTGGTTGGCAGCTCAAGCAGCCCTGTTGCTGCTGCCGCTGATTCCAGCTGTTGTTCCTGCATCTACCCCCACCCACCCCCCGTTTTGCCTGCCTTCCCATCCCACTTGCAGTTCCAGGGTGCTGAGCCACAGAGCACCAACCGCTGGGCTGTCCGCTTACCAAAGGGAGAGGCGCGCAAACAGGAAATTCTTTGCAGTTTGAGCAGAGCTCAGGCACTGGGCTTTGTCTCCAAATACACCCTGGATTAGTCACACCCAAAGGGCAGGCTAGGATAAAGAGCCCTTCTTGCCCCATTTTGAATGTTGGGAGCTTGTAGGAAGCAAAGAGGATGAGATTCAAACTGCCCAGGTCAGATACAGAGTTGGCATCTTGTCTTGGCTGTGAGACCTACACAATTGTCCTAAGAGGAAACACAGCATCCTTGCATGTACATGTCATTCCTGGCATTTGTGGGGAGCCATGGAGGGAAACCTCTTTGCTCCCCTCCCTCTTGATAGGGAGGGAGGGTTGGTTGACTGCAAATTTCTCTGCTTGAGGCTGTGATGGGTGATCCCAAGGTCCTTTTTTCAAACTATCTAGGTTGTAATGGTAGCTTTTAAGGGCTTCCTCAGTGAGAAGACGAGTGAAGGCAGACAGGACACTGCTCACATGTCTGCTTCCATCTTCCCCTGCAATCTGCAACCACAGGGGAGTTTTTGGGTGTATATGGTTTGCAATAAACTAGTTCATGCCATGTGAACTGATTGCATGCCCCAGAACAATCTACAGAGCACAAGGAGAGGTTCCTCAGCATGCTGCCCTGGGATAAATATTATGAAGATAAATATTATGAAGGCAGTCCACAAATGTCGTGAACAAAAACAAAGCAAAATACAAGTCAGTTGGGAGGATCTTGGAGACCTCCATGTTGAAAACAGCCCTTGTACATTTCTGGTTCAGAAAACCAATCTCTTTCAAGAACGTGATTGGCTTTGAATAAAGGAGGTTACAGGCAGACACCACTTTGAGATAAATAGGGATGGCTCAAGAACACTGAAGAGCTTGGCAGGCATTATTCCTTGTTGCCCTTGAGGTCTCTGCATGAGAATCAAGATCAGTCTCAAGCTGCATATTCAGGAAATGGGGGTCAGAGGTGGGGGGCATCGCCTTGGGCAGCCACTTGCCTGCTAATTCTGAAGGCCAGCTGTGTTGAACTTCAGGTGGAGCAAAGCTCTTGTGGCTGACTCAGATTCATTGCACCTGGGCTGGATTTCTGTGGTTTTAATATTTGTGTTTTAGCTTACCCTTCTATGAGATTGGGAAGAGAAATCCTGAATATGAAAACAGTATCAGATATATTTTCTCTGAAACAGCAATTCTGTTATTTGTAAACTTACAGATTGCCATATCTTATGGATGCTTTAGCTGAGATCCCTGCATTGCAGAGGATTGGGCTAGATGATGCTTGAGGTCCCTTCCAACTCTGTGATACTATGATTCTATTATCAGAGATAGTCTGTAGTGAGCAAGAATACCAGGAGGTCTTGTGCAACTTCAAGAACATTTCCCCTTCCTCAAAGGGATTGGTTGAGCACAAAAGGGTCCTGCTGTACCTGCATATGACTGCAGTGAGATGGAGTAGAGGTGGTCACAGCATTGCTCTTCTTTTTTACTGTTGCATCCATGGGCACCTGAGTGGTGACTATCTCAAGAGTGCATGTGTCTTTCAGTCCCCAGCCCCCCTTTCTGGCCACAAGGCTGTTGGCAACAGAGCCCAGCCCCTGATGCTCTCTCTTCCCTCTCCCCAGGGATGGCCCAAAGGCCAGCCTCACCTCCAAGAAGACCTCTGTCACCACCCCTGCCATAGACTACACAGAGTTGCTGCAACACTTTGAGAAGGTCCAGAGCAAACACCTCCAGGTCCGGCACCAGCGAGCCAACCGGGGCGAGAACCTGGATCGGAGAACTGTCTTCTGAAGGCTGGAACCCAAGGGACACAGAGGAAGCAGCCAAGCAGCCGGAGTAGCTAAACTCCATGGCTTGGAGTTGAGAAGAGACCTTGGCTGGATATTGCTGCTAGCTACACATTGAAGAGATGCCACCTGGCTGTGGGGACGAGCCAGCATGTTCTGGGGGGCCTTTTCTGATCCTCCCAGGCAAGATTTGCTTGTGAGGTGGAACAAGAAGCTGCTGTCTAGTTTGGGATGTGCTTTTCCTCTCTGGCAGTGGTGCAAGAGCCCTCGCCTTCCCTTGTGATGGTCATCTGATGGTCGTAGCCGTGCTTTTGCGACTGCCAGAGGGGAAAAAAGAAATGGGAGGACTTCCCACTTCCAGCCTGAGAGGGGGGAGGGTTGTGTGGGAAACCCTGGTGCAGCCCTTCCTCCCCACTGATTTGGGGACGCAGTTGCCAAATCCACAGCGCCTTGACCCCTCTCAGCAACCCTGTGGGCTTGCACACTGGTCCCCATGTGTGGGTTGGTCAACTGCTATGAACTCCCAGCAGGGTCACCTCCCTTGCCTGCTTCCCACCCAGCCCCCCAAAAACGTGTGTTTGGACTGCACAGTCTTAGCTTACAGCTAACCTGTGTGTATGTGTATATATAGATCTCTATAGACCAACTGTATTTCTAGCCTGGATTACTTTGTACTATTGTAAAACACTCCTTGCAATAAAAGGTATGGCAAATAAAATGATTGATGGCAGAATGGACTTCACTTCCTTTGGCTACATCCTCCCTGTCATGAGAGATCAAAGGGGTTGCCCAGATTGCACTGCTGTTTGGCCAGGGGGGTCTGTTGAAACGTCAGTTTGCTGCCCAAGACTTACCCAGCCTTTTCCTCCAGCTGTTTTGGACTACAATTCATAGAACTGTAGAGCTGGAAAGGATCCTCTATCAGCCCCAGCAAACATGACGATGTGATTTTGGGTCTGATGGGAATTCTAGTCGAAAACAGCTGGAGGAAAGCAGGTTAGAAGGTGAATCTATCCTGTGTGCCAGTCTGAAGGTACCACAGCAGGTGCTGGACCTTCTTTCTGCTGCTATCCACTCTGCATAAAGTGCTCCCTGATCCTGCACGTTATACTCAGAAGTAGGTCTGGTTGCTTTCATTTCTGTGAACAGACATGGCATTTTCTTCCATTACAGAGTGGGGAAGTCCTTTGCCCTAGTAATCTGAACCCTGACATTTTATTTAACCTTTGGTGTCCTATATGAATAAAGTTTTTTTTAAAAAAAACAAAGGCTTCTCCTGGATCAATGAGTGTCATTTCCACAGGCAAAGCTCCCTTTGTAGCCACACTTCTCTTTGCAAGCTCTCACTTGCAGGGGCTTCTGCGGTTCCTTCTGTGTACCTGCATTAAATCTGGAACCTCACTTTGTAGCCTTCTGGTTGAAAAGGTTTACTAATTGTGACAGGAAAATCTGCCTGCCTTTTGAGAAGCTGATTCTCTTGCATATCTGGCTGTGCCTCCTACTTAGGACAGCAGGGCCTCAAGCAGTGATGCAACAGGCAGCCTCTTCTAGAGGAGATAATCATGCAGCAGCTGCAGCAGCAGCAATGCAATGATACCAGTAACTCCCCACCAGGAATCTCTTACTATCTAGGTGGAGGCAAGGCCTAAGCAGTAACTCCGTGGAGATGCTGCAGGTGGACTTTGGGCTCAGGGTTGCCTTTGACCTTGACCTCGTTTCTAGCTTTAGGCCAAAGAGGCCCCTGCTTCTTGAGCAGGGCGCCCTACAATTAAGAAGGCCGTAGCTCAGCGGGAGGGCTGCTGCTTGGCCTGCAGAATCCCCGGCAGCAGTCGGGCCAGGTCTGAGGTTCTGGAGAGCGGCTGCCAAGCAGTGGAGGCAAGCTTGGGTGACGTGGTGCCACCCTGCTTCCCCTGGCGAGGGTGGGCAGGGTTGCTCCCATTTTGCAGACGGGGGCTGGGGAAAGTCCAGCCCGTCCACGCAGCACGGAGCTTTGAGGCAACAGCCAGAAAACGCAACTGCTCTGCACCCCGCCCCCGATGTGTAGCCGAGACCCACCGAGCCTCCCTCCCGCCCACTCCCCTCGGGTCCGACAGGAGGGGTGTCTCCTGTCCCCAAGGGGCCAGCCGCCTCCTGTTAGTGGCAAGGGGAGCATCTCCTAGGGCTCCCTCGGCAGCTCCAGGCTTCGGTGGGCGAGAGGAAGAAGCCGCTGCATCGAAGCTGCCCAGGCGGAGCGCGGCGTTGTGGGTCACCCGCGGGCTCTCCACGAGTGGCGGCGGCGGCGGCTCCACTGCTCTCCCTGCAAAGCCCCTAGCTTGGGCGGCCCCTCCCCCTCCTCCCGGCCCGCCCCCTCCCCGCATCGCCCACGTGACTGGATCCCTCTCTCCCCCCCCCTTCCCCTCGGATTCCGGCTGCCATCTCCTGCGCCCCGTCGCTCTGAGGCGTCCGCCCGGCTCCCCTTTTGCGCGCGGCGACCCTCTTTTCCTCCCCCTCCCCGGCCAGCAGGGCGCTCGCCGCCGTTCTCGTCGTCGTCGCTGCTGCTGCTGCTCCGGGCCAGAGGATGGCCACTGCTCGGAGCGCCTCTTCATCGCCTTCGCTCCCGGCTGCGGCAGCGCGGAGGGCCGCCCGTGGCGGGAAGTGACCGAGGGAGGCGCGCCGAGGAGCCGAGCGAGCGAGCGAGAGAGAGCAAGAGAGGCTGCGGCGAGGCAGAGGGAGGAGGAGGAGACGCCGCCTTCGCCTTCGCGGGGCTGTGTCGGGACTGGCCCCCCTCGACGGGCTGCCGCCGCTCGGCCATGGAGACGGCGGAGAAGGAGTGCGGGGCGCTGGGCGGCCTCTTCCAAGCCATCGTCAACGACATGAAGGTGAGCCGCTTCGGAAGAAGGAAGGGACCGGCCGGCGCCGCCGCCGCGCCCCGTCTGCACAGATTGGGGAGGATGCGGGGACGGGGGGCGGAGGCTGGAGTTGCTGCTACTGCGGGAGGCCGAAACCCGTAAACAAGCCTGGCGGGGAGGGGCGCGCAAGGCAAGGGGGCTTGCCTCTGCCTCCCTTCCCGGGGAGCCCGTCGCGCCCTTGGCTCCCTGGCCCGCCGGACTCCCGAGGCAGCGCACGGAGGATGGGCACGCGCGACGGCGGGGGGGGGGTGTCTCGAGGCTGGCCTGCCGCCGCCGCCCCCCAGCCCAGACAATGCTGTCATTGCAGGAGGAGCGATTTCGGGGGGGGGGGAATAAAACCATTGGGGTGGCGGGGGGGGGGACGGAGCTGCTGCCGCCTTAACTCATTCGGCGCCGAAGCTGTAAATCGGGTAGCCGAGGCTCCCTCAAGCGCGGCGGCGGCGGCGTCTGCCTTGTGCTTCCCTCCATCCCGGCTGCTCGGCTTCCTCCATCAGACGGTTTTCCTTCTTCAAAATGGCCAGGCGCTGTTTCGGAAAGAGCTGAGCATAGTAGCAGTTCTAGCCTGGACGGTCGCGGAGACGATACCTCCGAGCATGGGCAGAGGGCCCTTTCGCCATCGTTTACTATCTATATCTAGTCTAGTCTAGTCTAGTCCCTACGCAGTAGAAGCGCCGTAAAGCTTTGCATAGTGATAACTTATCTAAATACCAAGGAAGGGGCGGGAGGGGGACTTAGAGAGAAATGAGTGGATCAGTGGCAGATGGAGGAAGGGGGCGGGGAAGTTGTTGGTGCTGGGCCTGGAGAGCAAAAAGCAGAGGCGAGTGGCGCTCACTGCCTTGCCAGATTCAGCATGGAGGTAGTTGCCCCTTGTCCTGGCCTGCAGGAGCCTCTTCTACCATCTCCACCAGCACCCATTATGCAATCCTGTCAAGATTACTTCTCTTACATGGCTTGTAAGGAAAGTGAAAATGCCACATGGAAGAAATCCACACACCCTAGAAAAATGTGTGCCCTAGGAGGGCGACTGCAACCAGGAGTTGTGAGGATCAACAACCTAACTGGCTTTACAAGAGAAAGTGGCCAACCCTCTTGGAGAATGAACATTAGAATGGCAATTTAACCTGGAAGGATCAAATTAGCAGGCTCAACAACCTTTGAGGATTCAAACAACCAGTTTTTCACCAGTGAGCCCTGGCGGCTCTGCCATCTGCCCCATGCTAAGGATCTGGGGAATTATCAAGACAGAAAGAGTCTCTCTTGTCTTGAACTTCATCTTGAGCCACATCTCAGACAAGGTGGAAAATCTGGCCAGCTGAAATTGATGGCAGCTGAGTTTATTGAGCATCAGATTACCTTGCGGACAACCTCATGCACCTGAATTCCCACTGCAGAAATTGGCCACGAGTGGGGAGGCTGTTAAAATCCAGCTGATGAAGCCTTGGGGAGGAGATTGCTAGACACGTAGAGTGAAGCTTTGGGTTGGTCCCCTAGATCAGTCTTCCTCAGCCAGGCTCCCTCCAGGTGTTTTGGACTATAACTCCCACCAGCTGTTCCAGCCAGACCCCTGGTTCCAGTTCTGGCACTGGCTCCTGAGGCATGAAGCAGTTTCCTGGATACCTTGTGCCGAGCCACATTCATTGTCAAAGTTGGGCACGGGCACAAAGTGCCATGTTTCTCCTTGCTGCATCAAATCATGGAGCTGGACAGATCCCACCCACTCACCAGTTTCCCCCCTACTGCTAAGTTTGATTTCCAGTTTCTCTTCTCTCAAGGGGGACTCAAGATGGCCTCAATTCTGAAAGCTGTGTGTCCCACTTAACCTGAGTTGTAACTGGTGCAACAAAGTAGAAGGGAGGAAGGCAACCCATCCAAGGGCTGACCCTGCCTCAGCAAAATTAGTTTTGCATTAAAATGCAGCGTGCTGCAGATGCCACTCATTTGCTTAATATGCACTTAAGCCCCTCCCTCCATTTCTTGCTATACCAAGTGAGGAGGAAGCGGCGGGTGCTCACACATGTGTGGGTTTTCCTTGCAGAGATTGTTGAGGGGGGCGTGTTGTTAGATACTGTTAGTGCTTCAGGAACTGTGGGTAGCTAGATCCTGGAGGAGCCACTTCCCATGGCAGTAGACGACCATTTGAAAAGTAATCATTGGAACAATTAAAATCATAATGCAGAATAGAATGCAACAAATAATCTAAGACAGACTTAAAATAATAATCATAGTAATTACCAGAATGAAGCACCAGCAAAAACCTGGGAGCGTAAACCCCCTTCAAATGAACTGGCTCGGATCTTGCATCTTTTAAATAATAGTAAATAATTCATGAAGGTGATGGAAGCTCCTGTGGCTGCTGGGATCCTGCATTCAATGCCCAGTTTGATGAGTTGCCTCCCTTTCTCCTCCCCTGTCCTTTCATGACCACTGAACACCCAAGGGTGTTCCTAAAGCACCAGGCTTCCTCTTAAAACTGGCATACAATCCTTAGAAGCCCATGGATGTTTGAAGAGCCCCCTGAGTCTATTCCTGGGCCCAGGATGGCCCTCCAATTGCAAGTGAGAAGGGTTCCCCCCCACCTGCCTTCTCCAGGGCCTCTACTTTCCCTTTCCTTTACTCTGACCAGCTGCATCAGAAGCCGCCCCAAGCACCTGTATGGTGGTTTTTCATTGAAGTTTCCCAAATAATTCTGTGGTCTGGGGAAGCCTGTGCCCTTCATCATGTCCCATCAGCCCCAGCCATCATGGCCAATGATGAAGGATGATGGAGTCACCCCCAGCCTGGGCTAAAGCCAGCAGCTTTGCTCTGAGATAAAGCAGCAGAGTTCTTCAGAAGCATTCTCTTCCAAGCAGTGGGGGAGTCACTCCCATTCATTCAGAAACTCCTCCCCACATTTTAGGAAAACCGTGCCATTGTTGTTTGCTTTATTACCTGTCCTTCACCCAAAGGTCACAGGGCAGGTTGCATCATTAAAAAGAATCATTTGACCCCTTCAGACCTCGAACTCATTTTATACCACTATAACCTGCAGTCCAAGTTTAAATTTTCTCCTCATTTCTCCCCTCCCTCAGTTCTACTTTCTGTCCCTGCTTTTTATATGCTTTGGTTTCTTAACAGGCCAGAGACACGCCCTGGGACAGCAGCCAGGGCAGTTTTGTTCATGATGAGCACCTGATGTGGGAGCTGGAAAACTGTTAAGCCAGCAAGGGCCTGAGATGAAGGCCCTTAAGCCCTTCCTGCCTGCTGCTCCTCTTCCTCCTTATCATCTGCTGAGTCATTGTTTGCAGCTGGATCTTCTCTCAGCCAAGTAGACCCTCATCCCAAGGAGATGCCTGGCAATAGAGCCTTCTGTATCCAGTCAGGTGCTCCTGGGCTTTGTGCTGGGTGCACTGCTGCCATCTCTTGAGGCCCATGGGGGGCATTCTCTCTGCCGCCCTTCATGTACACAGGGGTAGCCAGCGTGGTTTCCTCCAGATGTTGTAGGACTACAAGTCCCATTGGCCATGCTAGCTGGGGCAGATGGAAGACACAGTTCAAACACACCTCTGAAGGGCACTATGTTGGCTACCACTATGTCACTAAGGTGTGCTCACCTGGTCCTCTTAATGCCTTTGCCAAGAGGCTCGCCTGCCGAGAGAGGTGATGGTGATGTTAGGCATCGCGTAGGCCTCCTCAGTAGGTCTTGCTGCCATGGCCCCTGTTATCTGTTTGGATTCCTGCAAGAAAGGCTCCACAGAACCAAGTGTCTGGCCTGCAGTTCTGCCAGTGTTCCCTGACTGCCTGGACTCTCCATGTCCTTCCTCTGTGTATTGTTGGAGCTTTCGTGGCCTTGGTGGGGTTTGTTGCCCACGTGAGTCTCCACTTACATACAAGGCATGCTGAACTGGCAGTTTTGCAGGAGCCTCTGACCTGCTGTGTCAAGGGAGACCTTGCACTCCTCCCTCTGTTTTGGGAGTGTTTCATGAGGTGTGGGTGCCTGGCCAGTGGCCTTTCTCTTCTTCCTAGCCCACTGTTCTGTGTGTCGGCAAGGACTGCTTTGGCCTGGCTGGCTGTTTCCCCTGTGGCTTTGTGCCCAGTTTCTGAGTCTGCAAGCATTAAGCCAGCTTGCACCGGCTTCCACATTTCTGTTGCCCTTGGCTGATGGAGGCTTGTGAGCTGGACCAAGTTCTCAGTCACACACCACCTCCTTGCTTCTTCTGCCATGGCTTCAGGCAGAGTTGCACTGCTGCAGGTGAGTTGACTTCCTTGCCATTGCTGCTACTAATCTTCCAGTTGGCTGCTGAGTTTATCAGCCTCCTGTCATCCAGAGAAGCACGGTTTGGCATCTGTAGAACAGCAGATGGTTCTTAGAGGAGTTAAGATGCGTGTGTGTGTGTGTGTGTGTTGCAAGGGGCCATGCCTCCACTTCTTCCACTGTGCCCCTTTCTCCACAGAGTGGATGGTGGAGATACATAGAATGAGTCACGAGGTCATTGTCTCATCATGTGATGCCTGCACTAAGTGACTGAGAGGTTGTCCTGGACTGCCCAGTCCACATCACTGGAGGATAGGATGTGGCTGTTAATTAATCTAACAGAGCTAAAATAATCGTTGCCATTTCATTTAGAATTTACAAATGAAGTGGAAGTAGGGGAAAGCGCAGCTCAAAGGTTAAGCCTTGAATGAATGGGAGGATGATGAGGTCGCAGGTTGAGCTTCAGGAATGCAGGGAGAATGTAGCCAGGCACTCGGTCTCATTTTATTGAACAAGCCTTTCATGGGGGATGGGCCTTTCTAGGTGCTCTTAAATATTGGGATAAACTTTGACCATCTCCGAAGCACAGACAGACTACCATGTTCCATAATTTTAAATTCCCCTGGTGTGGATTGAGCATCATTTTCTGCCACTGATGACACTCAGGCTCAGGGCACAAAACACTTTAAGTGTGTGGATACTGCAGGCTTCCATCTCCCCTTCCAGATGTTAATTGTAC